CACAATCCATGTAACATGTAACACGTTAATCTAAAATTAATAAAGTGAATAAATGAAAACTTTTAACTGTTTCCTTCAAACATAAGCCTCCCCCTTGGCGGGTTTTGCCAGTAGCTGCCACGCTTGGCAGGTGGATTGGCTACCGCAGTTAGGGTTTAGAGATGTTTTAAAAGGGATGCTGCTGCCCATCCTTTGCCCTCTCTTATTCGCCTCTTACGACACCCACGGGAAAGGAAAAGGTGGCTCTATGCCGGGACCACACGGCCGAATATATAATTATAGTTTATTATATAGTAATCTATTATTAATTATATAATAGTTATTTCATAAACAACTTGTCCAAATTATTCACAACAATATTAGTTTACTACTAGTTTCATTGAGTCCCATGACGAGTTTATTAGTAGATCCGTGGTACAAATACAGGGCCGGATTAACCGTGTGCCGGATAACCGGGGCCCCTAGATAGAGCACGACTTGCTCTCGAAGACTGCCGTAATATTTACAAATAGTAATCTATACTTATAATAAATCTGTATAGAGGTCAATTCTGTACATGAAATATATTTCCAAAATAACTATCACGGGGTGATTAGTGATTGATACTGATGTCAAAAATGCAATCAGTAAAATTTTTGTCTATCTGTCTGTATGTTCGTTATAGAAACAAAAACCACTCGACGTATTTTAACGAAACTTGGTAAAATTATTCTTCATACTCCTAGGCAGGTTATAGTATACTTTTCATCAAGCTACGATCAATAGGAGCAGAGCAGTGAAGGGAAATATTGGAAAAACGGGAGAAGTTATTCCATTTATTTACTTCCGTCGCGTGTGCAGCCTTATTGGTCAGTTTATAAAATGTAAAAATGTCCACCTGTGCAAAGCCGGTACGGGCCGCTAGTTTTAAATATAAAAAAATTAGCAAAACAATCAAGCCAATAATATTTTAATTGTTTCATCACGATCATCACATCAGCTTTTTACTGTACATTTGCTAACCATAAGCCTCCCCTTATTGGGAGGCTTTGCCAGCAAGTAGTTTCTACGCTTGGTAGGCGGGATGGCAACCATAGTTAGGTTTTGGTGATGTTTTAAGAGGGACGTTGCTGCCCATCCCTTGATTATTAAGTTCCCTTAGTCGCCTCTTACAATATCCATGGGAAAGGAATGGGTGGTTCATTCTATGTGGTGACTACACAGCAATGGGGGAATGGGATTGTTAGTAATGGGGTCTAGTGAATCCATTGCTATCAATAAACTCTATTAGGTCTACTTCCACGCCGTTCTCCCTGGAAACCAACGCGGTTAATTCTAGTCGAATTCGTCACGATGAGCTAACTGACCCGCTTTCACCGTCACCTATCATCCTTCACTGGTGCCCCGCCGATACCGATAGCGCGGGCGGGGTTACCATTCCATTATCATCCATGATAAAAAAACCTCACAGTAATTGAGTTTTTGTTACATACAAATAAAGTAATATTAAATTAAAGAAAATATCTCAAACATATTTTTTTGTAGCAATGCGGGAAACCTACGGATATCTATAAGGGAGGGAGGGCCCTAGGCGTATATTGCCTAAAAGACAATCCGGCCCTGTACAAATAATATATATTACTTGACCCAATTATGACAGGGATCGGATCTATGTTCCATGACAACGAATAGTTGCTATGGGGGATACGGAATCTTATAGAAAGCGTTATTTCCCGTGCAAGCACGTACGTCTAACATATATCATCGATACAAAGCAGAGCAACAAATGTTGCCATGTAATAAAAAGATGTTTTATGTAGTAACAGGTTGGGATATTGAATCTAGTTAGTATTTATGTATTAAAGGATTTAGAAAATGTGTGGATATATCTGTCTCACTTGTATTCCTACTGTAAGCAACCGTGTATTCAGGTTTCAGTTCCAAAGATTTAAGATTGTGTTCCACAGAAAAAAAACCTAGTTCAATTGTGGCAACACCAAACTGGTTTTTCGAGAATTGTTTTTTTTTTTATTTAATTTATAGTGCAATGGTAAAAGGTCATAATGTCGAACAGTTCCTTAAATTATATTATATTTATAAATTATTATTATTATTAATAAATTTATAATATCGATTTATATTGTTACAAATACAGTTATTTTGATTTGAAAATTAAATTATTGTATCGATTTTCATAAAATATCTTTGAGACAAATATGTAAGTATAACTTTTCAGATAAAAAAAATATTCAGTTTACAGCTGAAAAGTTATGAGGTATATATAAAAAAAATTCATGTTACTTGAATTAATGTCTGCATTCAAACATTAAACTGCCATTCTATTTTATTTCAGATAATGAAGATTTTATGCCACAGTTGAATATTGATCTTTATAAAAATAACTTTTTTTTATATACAACTTAGAATGGCAAACAAGCTGACGGCCCACCTGATTTTTTTGGTAACCGTCGCCTATAGACATGATTTTTTATGGACATAACAGATATTGTTTCGTCCAATATATACCTCCCATGCGTTGCCATTCCTGAGGACTCAGGTGTTATTTCTCTGTACCCAGTAAATTCACGCCATAACCGAAACACAGCCATGTAAACACAACTGCTTCACGGTTGAAACACGAATGGGACAATTTGTAACTAACAAAATCGACTTTTGTACAAAGTCTAATTAAAAAATATTACAAACATTATTTTTAGTCGAATTAATTCCTTTGACTCCCGAGTAAATAGATTCAATTAAAAATAAACATCGAAATCGGTTTCAAATCGTCAAAGAGCTGTAACGGATAACCTCTATACAAAACAAGTGGACGTGAAGATTACCAATTCATGGTGGATCCAGCACAATGGACCCACTGACCTATCCTTAATCCTTATCACTTCCCCTTCACTGTTTACCCTGTCGTTTGTTTAGGCTTGGCAGCGTATTCAATTTACCCATCAAACAAATGGACGGGAAATGTCACAAAAATTTGGACAAAGTTGTAAATAAATACGACGATTTTTTTTGTGTATATATATATTGTATATATATATGTATATATTTAACGATTCTGAAGCGATTTTTTTATAATTTTGCTATTTTTGAATACTTTTGTCATACTATTTTCGTATAAAAAGATAATCATTAAATAATATTTATTTATTTAAACTTTAATGCACAGTAAAATTCTATGAATGAAAAGTATAAATTGTAAGTAAGTAAAATAGTAAATAAGTGTAAAATGAAAAGTAATATTCTATTCATTGGGCGAACAGAGAAATACGTATTCGGTGCATTATTGAATAAAGAAAAAAATGTCAAACAATATTTGATAAATTCATATAATATAAACGTACACATAATATACTATATATATATATATATATATATATATATATATATATATATATATATATATATATACATACATACATACATTAAATAATCAAATCAAATCAAATCACTTATTGCACGAATATGAGTACATACATTAGTTGAAAAAAATAATTACATGTCCATTATTCCATACATACATACATAAATACATAAAATATTACTATATAAAACATTTATTAATATAGCTTTTTATAAGTGAAAGAATTTTTAAAATTGGTAAAGTATTTTCTTGAGGTTATTTGGTGCAAACAAAAATCGAATCTTTATAAGTAATATTAGTTTAGGTGGGTAATCGAAAAATGATTAAATCGAATCCCATCTTTCCATCATCATCGTCATCACTGCTAGATATAGGCTTCCAACATGTGCAATCGACTATTTGTTGTTTTTCTTGTGGTCACATGTTATTGAAATTTTGTACCTATAAGTATATATATATATATATATATATATATATATATATATATATATATATATATATATATATACAGGTATATATACAAAGCCTGACAAGTTTTGAAACATAAGTTAAAAGACTTTTATTTGAGCAAGCTGTCATCATTCTAATTTGTTTATATCTACCTATATATATGTATTTAAAAATAACAGAATTTCGTGCCTCTCCATATAAAGGTTGCCTGAAAGAGATCGCTTTAAGCAATACGGCTGCCTATGGTTTTTTACTGTGATAAGTTTTTGTAATTGTTTATATTTATATAATATTATATATGTTTACTATTGTAATCTCTTGGAGGAAACAATAAAGAGTATCTATCTAGTTACGTTGAGCAAGCGGGTTGGTAACTGAAATTTGCCGATGGATTTTTGAAAGAATTTTTAAAGAATTTAGGGAAAGATATAGAATGCCACAATGTGGGGGTAAAAGGGACAGGACAGTGACAGCTGTGGTTTCCGGGGGCGCGTACCCGCATCCATCTGAGAGATCATCCCACGCACAAGATTAAACCCTCCAGAATAGTTAAAATAATGAATCGTCTGACGACTCATATCAAGCTATTTTTTAACCCTTCTTTGCATAATGCTGGAAATTTCCATCATAACATTGAATGCTCAAAAATTATATAAAAGAACATGTTAACTTTAAGTTGATCGTGTCTGGATACCTTTTTAATGTCCATTGCAAAAAAAAAAAAAATACATAGCTGTCAAATTTATTTTATTTAACCATCTTTCCTTTAATTTTGAACATGAATTATATCACCTTGATTTATTTCACAAATAAAAAAAATTATGCAAAGAACGGTTAACCTAACTAATCAGGGGTAAAGGATTGTTAGCAATGGAGTTTGACAGCCCCATTGCTAGCAATATATCTTATTAGGTCCACCTCCACGTGGTTCCCCCTGGAAACCATCGTGAACAATTCTTGTTGAATTCGTCACGATGGGCTAACTGACCTGCTTCATCCTCACCTATCATCCTTCACTGGTGCACCGCCGGTGTATACCGATAGTGCGGGTGGGATTACCATTCCATTATCATCCATTAAAAAAAAACCTAACTAATCAATGTTAAACAATCGTTAGCAATCGTTTAGCACGGTGCAACCGGGCGTCATCGACACATAATCGCCCACGTACAAATCAACTATTAATTAGAGCAGTCGACTTGTGTACTTCACATTGAAACCACTGGCGACACAAGCGCATCCACTCGGAGTTTGGACCATTACCTCAATACCAGTTTTGAAGGTTAGTACTTTTTAAGCTTCGATTAGATAAGTGATTAGGTAACGGTGCGTACGGCTTCTGGCTCTTTTGAAATAGAACCTGAGGTTTAAAAATGTTTTAGTACATAAATCACAATATCTTTGGAATCAACTTCCAGCAGCAGTATTTCCGAACCGATACGACAACATAACCTTCAAGAAAAGAGTATATTCCTTTTTAAAAGGCCGGCAGCACACCTGCAATGCTGCTGGTGTTGTGGGTGATCATGGGCGACGGTAGTCACTTACCATCAGGTATGCCGCTCGTTTGCCCCCTGTGTTGTAAAAAAAAACAATAGCTTTGTATAACCCGGCGATGTTAATGTACTAGTTAATTAATGTTACATCCTAAGCGCTATAAGGCTATTAAATTCGGTCGGTTATTCAAGTCAAATGATATTGGGATTTGAGCAAATGGCAGTCAGAGATTAATTGTTTAAATTGAAAGATTGTGTAACTCCTGGTAGAAATAGTTGTGGTCAAACTTCGAGTGTTAGCAGTCGCACACATACGAGTACTAATGGTGGCGGAGTTAAACCAGAGGGAGACTTTGTACAAAAGTCGATTGCTTGGGTACTTCTGTACCATTCGTGTTTCTACCGTGAAGCAGTTGTGTTTGCATGGCTGTGTTTCGGTTTGAAGAGTGGGATATGGCGTGAATTTACAGGGTACAGAGGAATAACACCTGAATCCTAGGGAATGGCAACGCATGGGGGGTATCATGGGCGAAACAGTATACTCTGTTATGTCCATGGTACTGCTTATGTCTATAGGCGACGGTTGCCACTTTCCATCAGGTGGGCTTCTAGACTTAGGCACAAGTATTTATTTATTCATTTATCAATACATAGTACATCAATATTTAATAATACATAGATAATCAATACATAGTGGAACTATTGTACATCTATGTTGACCCATAAATAGTTTTCACATTTGCATTATTACACAGTCGATCGATTTTTACAAATAATAATTGTAAAGTTATAAAATTTGCACATAGTACCTGTTTCGCCCATGATACCCCCATGCGTTGCCATTCCCGAGGACTCAGGTGTTATTCCTCTGTACCCTGTAAATTCACGCCATATCCCACCCTTCAAACCGAAACACAGCCATGCAAACACAACTGCTTCACGGTTGAAACACGAATGGTACAGAACTACCCAAGCAATCGACTTTTGTACAAAGTCTCCCTCTGGTGATTAGTTATGATTATTTAAAAGCTAAATTAATGAATTGATTTTGTTTAAATTTCAATCTAAAAGTATATCTTTTCAAATAAAAAGAAAAAATCAATTTTTCAAATCTATTTAAACATGATGCAGTTTTGAGGTAGTAAACATAAAAAAAACATGACTTAATTGACGTTCTCAATCCATCCTTTGTTTGAGGTCGGTCGGAAAAGACTGTTTCATGTTCGTGTAACAATATCAAAGAGGATCTTATTTGAGAATAAGCCCGACCATAGACTATAAGTGAATTGTGTTCAAAAACAAGCAATATTGTATTATATTTAATATCTGTGAAGTGGCACTTAAATTAATCAATTCTGGGAAGTTTCCTTCGCTGTTAACAATAAAATAGACTTTATAATGGAAATTCATAATATTATAAGTAACTACAAATGATACTTATCTATTTTATACTTATAATAAATCTGTAGAGAGGTCAATTCTGTACATGAAATACATTTCCAAAATAACTATCAGCGGGTGATTAGTGATCGATACTGATGCCAAATATGCAATTAGTAAACTACTCGACGGATTTTAACGAAACTTGGTACAATTATTCTTCATACTCCTGGGCAGGTTATAGTATACTTTTCATCACGCTACGATCAATAGGAGCAGAGCAGCGAAGGGAAATGTTGGGAAAACGGGAGAAGTTACTCCATTTTTGAGCTTCCGTCGCGCGTGCAGTCCTAATGGCCACTTTTTTAAATGTAAAAATGTTCACCCGTGCAAAGTCGGGACGGGCCGCTAGTATATAATAATTATCCAAATAAACTTAATAAGCATTTTTAAATAGTCATTTTTATGAATCTACCTCGATAAGACCACCATATATATATATATATATATATATATATATATATATATATATATATATATATATATATATATATATATATCTATCTTCTCCAGACATCGTCCAGTATCCATATAAAATACAATACGTAGATATTATATCTACGTTATTAAAGTATATATTTTTTATTTCAAAGTAAATAGTTTACATTAAATTAATATTATATTTGTATTTAATTAAGCAGCGCCCTTTATTTTACCTAAAAAAAAATATAACATTATAACAGTATAATAAAAAACTAAAAATAGTATATGTTTAAATTGAATATTGTTGTTGTAACTAGTTTCTACTTGTGGCTTCGTTCACGTGACTCGAACGTTTTCATTGTACAGTATATAAAATGGACTTTATGTCCTTTTTTAATCCTTATTTTTATTAATGTTATAAATGTGTAAGTGAATTTATTTTTTTGTTTGTCACCTGTTATCGATCAACCTGGTCGCTAAACAAAATTGGACACGAAATACTAGATGGCGTTAGCATCGAGATTTGTGGTTCTCGTATTTGTATTGTACAACTTTATAAAAAACCCTGGTATGTGGTTGATACATTATAATACATTCAGGAAAAGATAGCGTATTATCTGACACTTCAGATTTGTACATAATAATAAAAACCGCTCGCCTATTTAAAAATATTGCTTTAAATTATCTTTAATTACAAAATACTGCTCATGTCTATAGGCGACCGCATTGCATCAGGTGGGCCGTCAGTTCGTTTTCCATTCTAAGTTGCATAAAAAAAAATTCATTCCCATTCTGGTCATATTATCTTTCACACACGCCATCTGTTGTATATTTATATGTACACATTACATAAATATTGTATTCTGTGACAGTATCTTTGAAATAAAACCAGTGCGTATCTGGTATCTTGACGTTTTACTACACCGTCCATGTCTTTTAGGTCTTCCTCTGTCTTCATAGCTATCCACATTAATACCTAATATCATTCCTAAAACATGCACCTTATCTCTGCGCATCACGTGTCCGTATCAGGACAGACGATTCAGATAATATATCCAAAAATTGCTAAATAAATTAAAAAGACAAAAGGAAATACAAAATGGCGACAACACCTGCATTGGTTGCTAGGGTTGCCAATTCTCGAAAGGACTAATCCGGGAGAATTTAAGGGGGGAGAGTTATTAAAAGGAAATCATGAATTATTTTTTTTTATTTTTATAGTTATTTTGTTTTTGAGTAGTATCTAATATTTGTCGGTTTTTCACCACAAAATCGTAAAAGTTTTTACAGGAAAAATCTAAGTTTGCTAGTACTTGTATCTCTGCTTTTACTAAAGAAATACTCATTTAGTTTCTTTCCTTGCTTCATACTTACTCCATTACGCTAAACAGGTGCTCGTATGAAGCATTAGAGATAGGAATGGAAAAAACAAACGTGACCATTTTTTTCAATTCAGGCCAGGGATTTCCGTCTTTCGATTTCGTAAAGTGGTCAACCCAGTGTAAATCCACTCGATTTTCTTCAACGAGATGTGATCGCATCTCACGCAATAGTTCAATTTTATCGTACAATTTGTTCTATCTAAGTTTCTAGAGAATCTGGAGATGTTATTGCACTTTGGGAGGTCGGGAGGTTAACCAATTGCACTGAGGCAGTTGCACTGAGGTAGTTCAAAGGTCACTAGTTCGAATGGATGTGTGAACTGTATATATGGATTAAATGAGTGTATCTAGATGATCCTCGTCCCAACTAGTGAGTAATAGAAGCTGCACCAACCTTAAGGCTCACGTTCACCACGGATATACGAAGGACTGCTAAACACGCACGGCGATCCACTAGTAGTTTGGAGTAGCAGCCTCTCAATGTTGGACAGGAGAACACTCTTATTTGTACCGAATACGGTAAGCATGGCTTCTGGAAGGCTATCAGTATGTTACGTATTGTGTAACGTTCACACTTCACTTGAATCAGTAGAGGAGGCGCTCACGGGCGCTCTGCCAGGCGTTCACCGAACAATTGTCCTCGCAATATCTACTGATGACAGTTAACTACAATATTGATGGAGCAAAATGTGTGATTACCCACCAATATTGTATAAGGATCGAACAACCATTATAACCGGAGTCTCCCAGTCAATCCGGGTGGGTTGGCAACCCTAATGATTGTTCTTGCTTGTTTATTCGAGTCACATTTCACTTGATATTCTCGTAGTGGTCCGTGGGCCACCCTTTCATGCCATTATTATCAAATAAGTGCGCATTTAGTTCAATTATGGGCGCCGAATCGAAATTAATTAACGCTTGATTGGTTTATTGTGACCGCACTGATAAATAAGTGGAGTTCAAATTAAACGGGGGTTTGATTGAAAATGTTTTATCGTTGGCTACCATTGCAGAATGGAATGGTTTCTTGTTAGTTTTCATTGGAATTTAAATTGTCATACTATTTGATAAAGAAAATTTGAGTAAGAAATGCATATGTATAAAATAACCCACAATTGATAAATAGTAATATATGTTCATGACTAATCATCATCGACGTGATTATATTCAGATGCAGATATTTTATTTCATAAAGCCTGACTGCGGTTGCTAATCCGCCTGCCAAGCGTGGCAACTACTGGTAAAAAACCCACTGCGTGGCTTATGTAAAGCAATAGATTATGGTGTATATATATATAAAATTTTTGAAATAAAAAAATTAAAAGGTCATTTAAATATTTAATATATATATATATATTAAATATTTAAATGACCTTTTAATTTTATATATATATATATATATATATATATATATATATATATATATATATATATATATATATAAATAAATATTGTCATTTAAACGTGAAATAATTTTGGATTTGTCATGTAGGTACTCATTAATATAATAAAATGGATCAATTAAAAAAATATTTTAATGA